TTGTACTTGTACAAATAGTAGTATCTCTTTAATGTAGTTACTATTTTTAAAGTTACTAATAAAGATATGAGCAAGGCATCACCTTAATACCAAAAAAAAAAAAAATTGATTTAAGACCTGTTGTTAATAAAGAAGCACCACAATATTATATAAACCTTATAAGAAAAGGTTGAAATAAAATTCAGAAAAATGTCTATTAGCTAATGATCTTTGTAAAATTTTTGAAAAATGGCAAAGTGATAAAAGTATTTTGTTAGTGCTAAATGAATCCAAAAAAGTACTTGAGAATATTGAAGAATCTTACTATAAGAATATATTTAAAGGTAGAAGTAAGTTTATCAATATATATAAAATTACTGAAAGATTATCTGAAATGAATTTACTCAGTAAAAAAATTAAACTTCTAGATGTTTCTGATAATCTTTGATTTTTTTTAAGAAAAATGAATTTATTTATACAATTTTTTATAAAAAATGTTTGTAGTATAATTTTATACTTTGAGTATTCTTAAACATTATTTATTTTTTTTATTTTTTATTATTTAATTTAAGTATTTATTTTTTATTTATAAGTTTATATTAATAAAATGCAAATTTTAATAGATATTATTTCTTGATTAGTGCTATTAACTAGAAGCTGAAGCCTAATATACTAGTAGTTTAGCAAGAAACTCTACTAGTCTCTGGTCATATCTACTTTATTATAATAGTAGTAATCATTATAAATTGCAAAAACAAATAGGAAGAAAAACTTGAATTGTATATTAATATTTTATTCAGTTTTCATATAATTTATTTAAATAATATTATTTATTTTTATTTATATAGCAGTAACATATTTCAAAATAACTTAAATAATATAATTTAGAAATTGTAATATTGGTCAATAATGCATTAATTAATTATAAAAATTTATAGTGCATTACAATATAGTATCAGAAGTTTTGAAAAAACAAAATCAGGTATTTATTCTTTATTATCTAATTCCATATCAACTATTTCTTGATTATCTATATTAATTATTTCTTCATTATCTATATCAATTATTTCTGGATCTAAATTAATTGCTTTAATATAATTAATTTCTTGATTATAATTGATTTCTTGATTATAATTTATTTCCTGATCATTAAACATAGAATAAGGAAGATAATGATGTGATTTATATTTTTTTGCTGTATATTCAGCTAATTTTTCTGTA